AAGTGAAAGCACCAGAAAATAAATTAAGTCATACGTAGCTGTCATCCGTACGCAAGGAAGTAAGCACAAGATGCCGAATACCCTTAGCAGGATGCAGCTCACCCTTCATGCGACTCGCGAAATACCTCACGGCGCTTCGCGCTTGGTGATTTGAGAGCCTGGTCCGGTGAGAACCCGGCGTGCTCCGTCCCGGCTTTGTAGGGATGCGAGGTCAATGGTCAAACAACTACGGCATGCACGACTATGAGTACACCCCCCCCCCTTGCCCCCCGTTCGTTTTTTATCCCTCAGTATCTTCATCATGTGTCAAGCTGTGTCTGAATGGGGCCCTACGAACGGAATGACGCCCCCCCCCAAGTCGCTGGCCGAAGGCAAGCTGCTGTGCCACACAGGACTTTCGCCATGCGCCATGTCGCGACGAAACGACAGGAACTGCACTACCGTAGCTCTCTAACCAGGCAATGCTCAAGTACAGTTTGCGTCTGCACTTATTTTCAAGAACATCTTGTGTTGGCCGAGGGGCTCGTTTCGAGGTACCCCAACAACGACCACACAGGTTTTTGGGCAGGATCTTGACAGTAAGCATGGCATGTCCCAATGGCCAAGTTCTTAAATTTTCCAGTTATGGTGAGCCTGAATTCATACAGTAACTACGACCGACGCAGTTGCGCAATTCAAGGGACAGACATGGCGCCAGGATGCAACGCAGCAGAAACGCGTGGTGCATGCTGCATTTAGCGTCAAAACGAATGTTGAGTGTCACCTGTAAAGATCTTTTTCCCGCGCTGCGTCGATTGGTCATGTGCCTTTTCACTCAGGCAAATTGATGTATATCTGCTCATTTGCTCGTAGTAGTCACATTTGAACCTTGCGTCGGGTTCGTATGACTTCGCCCCCAACTTTATTTGTCCGACCATTGAACGGAATGCCAATCAATTAGGACTGACCGTGTGGTCCCGACGCACCCATCATGTCGCCCTTTCCGCCTCCCTTTCGAGGGTACCTCCGCCTTCCTTTTGGGGGTACCGCCTACGACAAAGGACACAGCAGTTTGTTGTTGCCTTCCCATTAAAAGCCACCCAGGTCTCTGCTCACAGTTCACAGTTCCTTCCAACATCGGCACCGGGTCGAGTGAAGCGGACGCCTTCCATGGGCACACAGGCCAACTAACCAAGAGGGGTACAAACCAAACCAACGGAAACAAAAGGACCCAGAAAAACCATTGCGGACGCGATAAAAGAGCAAGACCCGACAATCAATGAAGTTGGCCCCGGCCAGGCAGCAGTCAGACTTCTCTCGGGCTTGTACAGATCTGGCGGGTGAACTGCAGGATGGTTGCTTACTCCGTTGCATGTGACAGCCAAAACAGGGGCCACACTGAGACCTTCCGTCAGATTAAAAACATGACACCAAACACAATTTGACACTTTTTTCTCGACACATGAACGACAAATAAAGAAAGAACACAGAGTATGTGCGCGAAACCGCCATGCGTTGCAATCGCAACTGCGTCAGTTCACACGAAGGCGAAAGCGGGCCACCTACTTCAACATCACGGCGGTGGTGGTCACGGCAACAAAGTCGCTCAACTATAGACAACGAAAATGATAGAACAACGATCACATCTAACCAACGCATGAATCCCACCAACACCAGGTCGGAGCTTGCCAACCATATCTGAATGAATCCATGGTGCACCTGACCAGGCTTCCATCTCTTGCGTATGCACGTATGTATTTGTATGACTATGAGATATACTCCGAACCTGAAGCATGCATACTTGACAATATTCACAATATGCCGTGCCACCTTTACTCCTTTTACAAAGTGAGGATGCCTCCTTCTCTCAATCCTCTAGAACTTGCAGTAACAGCAGCATTCTTCAGCCTAACTCTTTAAAACCACAGAGCATTAGCATTGCCAGCTACAATCTTCCGCGCAGACTTTTACACACTTTCGTGATGCTAGTCCCGAAAGTCCTCGACCACACAGCGGTGTTTACGACCGCCAGATTATCTCAAAACCCCACCGCGTCAGCCAACCACCCACTTCGTTTGCGAAAAAAGCACCACCGCTGTTGTGACCATCCCCTCCACCCACATCAATCTGAGGCAACTTTCCATCCCCAAGAGGAATGAAATTTCTCCAAACTCGGCGAGATGCGTAGATCGACTTTCGGTTATCGACAGCACTAGGGGCTTGTCCCCGCGAAATCTTGGCGCCAGCTACTGCGCTGTGGACTTAGAGAGCTAGGTCTTCGTCGTGCTGCACCTTTGTGCCACACCCGTGTGCTTACACCCGTGCGCTAAACCCGTGTACCGCACCCTTTTTGAAATACAAAGTACCCACCGATGTGTTACATAGATACACCGGTTTCACCCTGCGCCGGCAACTCCCCCTCCGCTCTCACTTCCCTGGTCTGTCAACTCCTCAAGTGCTCCCGCCTGGGGGTGGTAGAGGTGCGAGGTGGGCGTATGGTAGTACTACCACAACAGCACGTGGCCCTTGAACGAAAAGCAACAATGGACAACGACCCCACCAACTACAGACCAGTGGCGGTTCCGGTTCCGTGCGCGCGAGGCAGCCGTTGGCCCGTCCCTGATTCCGCCGCACACAAGCCAGATGGACGGTCACCCTTCCCCCCTTCCCCCCGCCCACCCTGCTGGCGTTCCACATGCCAACACACACGATAAGCGATTCGCAACGCAGGCAAGCCACCGGGGTTCACTGATCGACTACGCACGCTTTCAAACCCCGGAACCACCGCAGCTGCTGCCACAGAGTATCTCCTCCTCCAAATCTGCCACTGATGGCGTTCCGTGTCCCATTCCATCCCATCCTATCCATTCTGCCCGTTCCGTCCTGTCCCATCCCACCCCATCCCATCCGCTCCACCAGACCCAACACATACACACAGCAACACAGCAACACAGCAAGAGGCTAAAAACCCAGCGTGGCACGTGTTGGACGCTTCGCTACCTTCGTGCATACGCCGTCCGTCAGAAAATCGAGCACCCCCGTGTACCTCGTAAGAATGACGAAGTCATATCCCCACCTCCGGTACGGCCATTCTCCACGCTGTTGCGAGTATGTTCCCACCTTGGCTCGCAGAAACAACGACGCCCTTGAGACACGGCCAAACAAGCGGCGGAGTCGCCGGAGGGTAGACGCCATATTGTCTTGCCTTGCCTACACCGGTTCCAACGGTTTCGACCCAGCGCTCTCTAGGGCCGGGCAAACTTCACCTCCCCCCCCACGAAAACGAAAGAGACGCCACCGCTACCGCATAGGCTGAAAACAAGACGCCAACTCAAGGCCACACTTCACGCAACTCACACACACACACACACACCCGTGGTATGGCTCACACCCAGCTATGCATATCTGCACTATGTACATCCACGAACCAAAAAAAAGGTAAAACGAAACGGCGAGGGACGACCAAATCAAATTTCCGCCGCACTTCCGAGCCCCCTCGGTGCCTTCATCCTTTGCCACCGACCGGAAACGAGCTTGCGTTTCTTTGGCATTTGGCACGAACCCATCCGGTAGACCATCGTAAACCCCTGTTCCATTTACCCTCCGCACCGTGGCCCCCTTCTTGCAAGCTAAGCACGTGCGTCCACCTCGTGAACTGCTACAACAACTTCCGACATACCATTCGCTTCAGTTCTGTAGACGACAGGCGTATAAAAAAAAGCGTAGGATGGCGAGAGGAGCGAGGTGGATGGAGGGGGGGGGTAGAATAGGGAAGGGAGGGGTGGCGGTGAGAAGTGAGTTGGTGATGGCCACGCGGCACACCCTGTCACGAAGATCGGAGACTGGAAGACGGCGCACCCACGCTCCGCGGGATATCACTATTTTCCCAGAGGCAAGGTTGCGTAGGCCATGAATCTCTGAGCGAAAAATGTCTACATGCCCCAAACATCGAACATCGGCCGTGGAATGAACGCCAGTCTTTGGAGAAGAAGCATGAAGCAAATTTGCTTCGGCGCCGTCAATTTCAGTGTTTTCACAAAGGCGCGTCACCGCACGGGAACATGTCTAGTATGCAGCAAGACAAGACGCCACGGAGTACGGAACACACTGCATCCTTTCAGGGGGGGCACATTCAGAGCTCGAACTACTGGCAACAAAGAGGTTTCCGAGCAACGGTACAACCCGACACCGACTGCAATACCTCTGTTGATGCATCCGCGGACGGATCTCTCGACAAATGATTGGCCAGGGTCTTACCCTGCCCTACGATACTAGCGCGGCCGTCGTCGCTGCTCTTGGAGAGACACATACGTCGAGCCTGGGACGAGCGCACGTTCCACCACCGAATCACGACAACGCCTCTCATGACCCGACGAACCTAACCCCCACCTTGAGCTTGTAGTTGCGCTGCGGTGCCGGCCTGGGACTGGTGTTCTTTCCCGTCACGCCGGACGCCGCCGCCGCCGCCCCGCTCGCCCCCCCGGCGGCCCCGTGGTTGTTGCCGTCCAGCAGGACCCCTCCGCCGCCAACGCTCACCAACAGCTCCTTTGAAGGCCTCCCCGTCGGCTCTGCGCCCGCAAACAAAGCGTTGGTTACCGCGGCCCGCGCCCGCGCGGCGTCGGTCGCTCCCCCGGCAACGGCGGCCACCGGCTTATGAGAATCGACGGAACCGAAACGGTGGAGGGTGCATGCACAGAGGTGGCGGCGGCGGGGTACTGATATCATGACGCAGCGTATAATATGATAACAACGCCGTTAGAAGAAAGCAAAAAAAAAACTGCGTGCATCACCATGCTTCGAAGCAAGCCTCGTAGCAGCCACACACTACACATATGTACCACGATATGACTGGCGTATTTTCATTGGTCAGCCGGCTAGCGCGGTCGATGCAAACTATAACACACAAAATACACACACAGAAAAAGCGCCCCGAAAAAAAATCGACAATCCGTCACCCGCAAAAAAACTTGAGACATTTACCTCCCGGGTGCCGTGCTCCTGCCCCGCCGGGGCTCCTCGGCCTCCTCCGTCGCCTGCGCCCTTCTCCAGGTCTGTGATCTTCGCCGAGATGGCCGCGGCAAGCTTCTTCTGGCGCTCCTCCTTGCTGGAAGTTGTGTGTCACGGTCAGGGTTAGGGCTAGCGAAAGCGTTAGCCGTAGCGTCCCGGTCCGTCTGTGTAGAGCGGGGGACTGTTTCGACGTGAGGGTTAGCTCCTCGTTGGCAGGGCGTGTGTCATGGCCAGGGTCGGGGCTAGTCTTAGTGCAAGCGTGAATCTCAGCGCAAGGTTCAGTGGTAGCGCGGGGGTGGTACAAGCCCTAGAGTACAGGTTAGTCTCAGCGAAAACTCGTCTGACTGCGCCCAGATTCGAACCGGCGGACCAAACCTCCGAAGGTTGCAAGGATACCAACTGATGTAAAGCAACCAGCAACTACAAGAAAAGAAACGTAAATGCAATTACTCCCCCCCCGACACACACACATCCGGACGAGGGGCGCCGCGGATTAGAACATCAATAGCGCTGCTTCCGTGTCGGGGAACCGACGGCTTGTCATTGGCCAGCAAGTTGGCGCGATACAGATGCAAGTCAAAACATATTCGTATCAAACACACCTACAGCATGCACATGAAACAAATACTCACGTCACTGCCGGCGCACATTGCTTGTCTCCCTTGCCCTTGCCCCCGGCCGCCGCGGGCGTCCCCACCGCCCAGGCCGCCTTACCCCGGTACGGAGACCCCGGGTCAGAGTCCCCCCCCTCCCCCCGGCCTTCGTCCCCCGACGCGTAGCGGTCGTGCTCGCCCTCCGGGGCACGGGTAGCGCCGCCGCTTTCCGTGGCTGCCGCTGCTGCTGCGGCGGCGGCGGCGGCTGAGGTGCCCTTGTCGGAGCGCTGCTTCTTCTTTTGCCTCGTTGCCGCGGGTTTTCTCTTGGCAGGGGCGGTTGTGCTTCGCGTGGAACGACCCTTCATGTTGGCGTGTGTACATGTTCAGGAAGGGAAAATTTCCGCGGGGATGAAACACATGTTACACTTAATTTGCGTTTGGTATGTCCTGTTGCGGAACCATTGATTCCCCGCGGGCACCTTAGCGCGGATGAAAGGGGGCACACAGCAGTTCATCGCGCTACGTCCGTCATGTTGTCAACGTCTCGAGTTTTCATTTGCACGATTGTATAACTGTATTCTACATAGCTTTCGTTTCCACGAGAAAGACATACGCGCCCGCTACCTCCAACGCTGAGTGTCAACGGTTGAATGCTTTCCTGTTTGCTTCGGGCACGCGAATGGGTGCACACATCTTTCCCTGTGAATATCTACCAGAGTGCTCCGGCATTTGCGTGAAGAAGAGGAGGTGCAGAGAGGGGGAGAGGTGCGTGATGCAACCTAGACAGGGACTGGAAGGCATCGATGATCTTCTTGCACTTGACACAAGCCCGTCTTGGCTCACAGTGACACCACGGCTGTGTGCGTCCCAACACATTCTAGCAAGTGACAGTTTCAACACCTGCACATCACCAGCCCGCCGCGGCACACAATAGAGACCAGACTACCGGGAAGCCACACCATCGAATGGTCAAGCTGGAGACATGACCCTCCTCCCCGTTCTCCCCATCCGCCGCCTCCGACAAAAACTCAACAACTGGATGCGACACCATCGGAGGAAGCAACTGGTGCAGCGGAGCACGATACTGTACGAAGAAAGAACGGAAAACATCGCGCATCTGCTACAGCAGCGGGGTGCGGAAGCTGCTGTCGCCGCCGATACCGCCCCCGCCAATGCGACTTGTTCGAACCTACAGCAGTTCCGCCAAAAACACACCCACACCTCCACCCGCCGCCGCGAAACAACAATCGCGAGCACTCTCCTGTCCCTCTCACCCCGTCCCCCCGCAAACACCACCCACCTCGGAAGCTCCCCCCCCTGCCTTCGGCTTGGGCTTGGGCTTGGGCTTGGGCTTGCCGCCGAACAGCTCCGAGTAGCGGGTCTGCTCCGCCTGTTCCTCCGCCGTCATGGCCGCGGGCCTGGTGCTCTTGCTCCCGCCCACCGCCGTCTCGCCCGAAGGGCCTTCTTCCGTGTCAGACATGATGTTCTGTTGAGGATGGGCAAGGGGGGGGGGGGGGGTACACTCATGTAAACGCATGCCGTAGTCGTTGGACTAATTGACTTCGCATCCCGGGACCGAGCGACATGCCGGTTTCCACTTGGATGAAACCGAAGGTGGTCGGTCATCCATGCGTTTGCTGCGCCAATCCAGGTGCATATGCCATGGGTTGGTGGGGGGGGGTTACGTGCGCGTTTTCCAGGTGAGGACCCGCTTGGCGACGCAGGGGGGCGTAGCTGTGCCGATGGGTGGGGATTCCCTACAAGTAGACATGCACAAAGAGCGATGCTGACAAGGTACAATCCCAAACCGTCGTTGAAATTGAATTACGGGGCCGCCTTTAAAAAATGCTGCTGTGGGGTGCACAGAGCGTGTTGTATGATACACACATACCAATTATACCGCTGAAGTAGCTGGCGCTGCGCTCTGACGGCGAGCAGCCTATACTACCTCTGCATAGGGTTGTCGCGCGTGCTTCACCTCTCTCCCGAGAACACGAGATGTTTTATATTTCAACAACGTACTACACACGAAGAAGAGTACCACGGTACACTACTGGTAGTCTCGGCCGTCTCCTTGAATCTGAACGTCAATCTCCACGTCTTCTGGTGTGCGGCCAAGGCTACATGATCTACATCATCTTCCCACCATGTACACAGCAATCGAAATAACAGCAGTTGCCGTGTACAGCAGTTGCCGTGTACAGTTGCCGTGTATGGTACCTTGCTACCGGCTGCTGTGTAATACCATATCTACGGCGGTTTGCACACCAAAATGTAGAGCATGCTTTGCGGGGGCGCCAGTTTCCGCCGACTACACAACACAGCGCGGAAGGGAGACAAGCCCACATCACGACGGGTTTCCCTAGGACGGGTGTGTGCGCGCGACGTTGAACACCTTCCCGGGCTGAGTGCCCTGGGTATCATATCTACCACTTGCAAGTGTATCTTGCACGTCGACAACAGAACCATCATGGTTGCGGAGAGGGCGATGAGAGAAAAATGATCGCGTTTTCTCGAGCTCGCGGCCGGCGGCGCCTAGAGATGTCGATATCGCGGTCAGCACGGTCAGCTATCGGTGCGCATAGTCCCGCACGATTGATCTGGGATCCAGGATCCACGTGTTTGGGAGCTGCGAGCCCGCTCCCCGGCGTAAACTTGATGTTCCTCCCTGCTGTCAGAGAGTCAGAGGGTACTGAAAATCTCCAATGACATGCAGACGGGGCACCAACTCACCGAACCGCTCCGATCACGGCATCTACTGCGAAGCTAAAAAGGCGCACCTGAGGACCAGTGCCGAACAGAACGGAAGCCTTGTTTCCCATGGTGGATGCGTGCGTGTTGTGTTGACTTTCTAACTCTCTCTAGGATCGTCGCAGCAGGTACCGGAGGTGTTGAGAGCAGGTGGAACAAAACCAGAAACTGGCTCAAAACGGCCAAGTTTGTTCCACCCCCCACGCACAGAAAAAAAAATGAGATTCGGGGGGGGCCGGGGGGGGGCCGGGTGGTTGCCGATGCTGCCTTTTATCCTTTATCCGAGAACTTTCGGTGGGCCTCCCATTATTGCAGCATCCTACTGGCCACTTCACTGAGGCCTGGTTCGAGAGAGCTCACAAGCGGAGGACACGCCCTGCCCCCGTCCAACTCTCCCTTTTTCCGAACCTGCGCTCGCCTGCTGCGTGTAGTACCTATGACTACTACGAGCGCCACCGGCGGCGACGCATGGTACGACAACATCTCGGTATACTCTTCCGACTACGAGCCGGCGACCTTCACCCCCGGGGCGTCCGTGGAGGCAAACCATGACCTCCTCGACGGGCTTCGGGAGAACGACTTCGACGTCGAGGACGCCCAGTACAGTGAGATATATTGCGTTTCGGAAAGTGTGGTGTAGGATGTCACTGCCAGTGGCGCCAACCCCAAGTACAACGCTGAGTACGAAAGGCAGCGGCTTATAGAGCTGTAGCTCTGTGTGGGCCGCCCCAGCTTGCAGTTTCTGTTCGCTCTTCTGTATTGCTTGTCATGTGACAGGAGTGTTGTACGTCGTGTTGTTTGACGCCGGCGTTGGCAGCGGTACCGACAGGTGGCGTTGGGCGTTAGGGGCGATGGCCGGGCTTCTTCGTGAATGGAATTGTTTCATCAGCTAGACTACAGTACAACACCTTTGATAGAAATGTGGATCGTGCGATCGTGCGGAACAGTCTTTGTCTGTGTGCATGACCTTTCGGAAAGTCCCGAACCGTTCCTCGGGAAGTATATCCGTTGTTTCGTCGTGGAGGGTGAAACCTCGTCTACAGCAAAAATCAAGCAACCCCAACCGCCGTCGTACAACCTTTCTGCCTGACAACCATACCTGTGGCAGCACAACGCTCACGATTCTGGAATCTCTTCAACAAGCGTCCATGCAAACATCATGAGCTGCACACCGGCAGCGGGCGGGGTCCGCACCTTTTCTCATATTGTATCCCTTTTTGGGCTCGGGCTCGGAGAGAAGCGGTTACTCTACACCTCATGTTGCACGTTTAGCCCCGTCTACAGAGCACACATGTGTTTGACGCCTTCATCGAGAACACCAGCCAGCCACTACTACGTTGTACTTCGACTTTCTCCAAGAGAAGCCGCCCTTGTTTTTCAACATCGATCACCATGATGTACGACTGCAGCAGTATATGCCGCGGTACAGGTGCCCCCACACCGTGCCTCCACTACGGCATTTACTACTGCTGTAGAAGGATTATCTACTCCCCTACATACGAACCAGACGTTGCTGCCCACGTTGGTTGTTCTGTTTTCGGGCCCTGGTCGCTTCCCCCCCCGGAAGCTGCTTCATCAGAGATCGAGACATGCCGCCGTGTGTCTTGTCCAGAGACCGTTCAAGTACCTACATTACCCCAGTAAGACAAAAAAAGTTTAGCGCGGTCGATGCTATAGTAACGATCTACTGTAGACACTCACACTCACGTTGAGCCTTTCGCATGGTTTTCCCATTTTAGACGCACTGAGGCTGGCGTGTTTTCATTGGTCAGCAGATTAGCGCGGTCAATGGTATTCATGGAGACCCGACACACCTATTTCCATTTGTGTATATACATGCGTACGCTGCTGACATGTTTTTTTTTTTGTTCGCCATCAGTTTTTGGGGCACAAAGGGCGATTACAATCGGGGCGCTTGCTCGGAACAACACTTTACTTCTGGCCGTAGATATTTAGCACTCTTCAACCTGCCGGCCTCGCCCCGCGCTCGAATTTTGGTTCGTTCTCGAAGTGTCCTACAATGCTATGCATAGGATGATGACTGACGGAGAATTTCGTTCCAGGCGAGCCACGTGAGATCGATAACACGACTGACTTTATCGCCGACGGCCGCTACTACGATGCTGCCGCCGCCGCTGCTGCTGCTGCTGCTGCTTGTCCTTTCGGCTCCGTGAAACGTTTCTGAAAGGTGCTGGGCTGGCGACGCTCATCATAGTATTTCTCGTGGCCGGTCTGCTCGCGTGCTGCCTGATCCCCTGCCTGTACAAGTGCCTGGGGACGTCAAGACAGGAACGCCTGCGAGAGAGGTCGGTTACCTACTATTGTACCCACTCTGTCTCCACAAAGTGCCTGTAGTCACTTTTCAGGTTCAACTGGTGGTCAGTCACATACAGAAGCCAACACATTACTGCTGCGCGAATTCACGTTATCTGGTCTTGAATTTTTTAATCGCAATCGTACGGATGCGCCTCCGATGCTTTTTCCCCGAGAGGTGGTACAGGTCGGCTTTCGTGGTGTTACTTGGATGAAAGACGAGGTCCGTCTCGTTACCGAACGCATAGCTTGAAAACGCCCCACGGCACTCATGTCAGGCACGGCCGGTGTGGTACGTTCCGATATGGCGTGGCGACGTATCGCCAGCTGTGATTTCCCACGGAACATTCCCGGCGCCTTTCTTCGCTGCACGAAAGGTTCCAAACGCAGCTTCACCAGTACCATCCGGGCTTTACGTTAGGTCAATGCCAGCGTGTAGTATCTGGTGCATTCTTCGCCAAAACCCAAGCGCGACTGGTTCTAGCCTCCTGTAAAACAGGCTTTCGATTTTTTTTCTTCAAGCATGTCCTGTAGTCTCAACAACGGAGTGGTCCACTGAATGCAACAGCAGCTCTGTGTGCTTTAACCTACAGAGCAGTGCGTGATGCACACAGCGCGTGCCCAGAGCACCGCATAGCTGCAGACCGACTGAAGCGCGGGGTTTGTACGATGCCACGGTTCAAGATAGATACCACAGACAGTTCCACATGAACACCACAACCCCCGACAGGATACCACCACACAACCGGCCGACTAAACGCCCGGGTTGCCTAAGCTTCAGCATCCCCTGAGAGCATGCCATTCACGGCACCACGTTCCTCGAGTTCGAATACCCGACGATACCCGCGCCATGAGCATCGCAAGATGTTACTGTGTGGAGTCGGGCCGCATGGAGCAAGAGGAGTCATGTAGCCAGCCCCCTATGAAGTAGCTTCGACGGCAAACAATGCGCCTAATCTACCGTTGAACCTGCTAGCCTTTATTCACAATGTGAAAACCCCAAAGCAAGGTATAAATTAATGTGGCTTCGTGTCCCACCCTCTCCCCACCCACTAACCCCCCGAACGGTAATTTCTCGCCGTCACGACCCCCACAGGATGCAGTTCGGCAAGCAGACCCACTACGGGGGAAACATTTTCATGGTGTTGGCTAGCGTGGCGGCCATCGCGTCGGCTGCCGGGGCTATCTGGGGCCTGGAGAGGGCGGATTCCGGGCTGACGAACATCGAGGACTCGACGCAGAACATGGCCACAGACATGCTCACGGTGAGAGACAGAGAGAGAAAACCACAAATTTTTCGTAGATTCATGCCACCGACATTCTTGCGGTGAGAGAGAGAAAGAACCACGAAACGCCGTACAGCAAGGCTTGTACATTAGCCATACCTGCCGAACACTCTCTCATGAGAGAGAGAGAGCCTGTTACCAACACATAGCTTCACATCTGTAGGGCTGGGATACTCGAGATGGGTTGCTCCGCCCAGATCGCCTGCCCGCAGAACCGCACACCCGCGTACACGCTCGCCTAATTCCCAGCGAAAGCTTAACTATTTTTATACACAAGTGATCCCCTCGGAGGTATGTGTCATGAAGGGGTGATGCCAAGACAACAATAACCAGCAGGCAGCAGGACCAGCCCACAGCTAGCCGCCAGCTGCGACGTTTCCCAAGCTCGAACATCTGGCGTGTTTTTGACTCGAACAGCCCAGCGAACCTCAACGAACCAAACAGTTACAAATCTGTAAACGGCAGTCTTATCCGCGTACCCGCTGCCGGCCCTTCTCTGTGTGTGTGTGTGTGTGTGCGCGCCCGCCGCCGCCGCGCCGCGCGAAAGATTCTCAACCTTGCCGACGACACCTCCGTGGCTCTGGACGAAGTGACGGCGTCGTACGAAGCACTGCAGGAGAGCGTGGACGGCTGCGACAACGGGGCCATCCTCTCCAGCTTGCTCGACGCGTTCGACATCAACTCCTTGACGGCGAGCGTGCAGGCGGAGATCGATGGCGTCAGCGAGGACAACTTCGGGGAGCTCGCGGACGACGTGAGTGTGTCTCGAAGGGCACCGGGTGTCGTGGGTGTTGTTTTTTGTTTCTCTTGTTGTTGGTGGTGTTGTTTTTTGTTTTCTTGTTACTGTTCGTGATATGTGTTGTGTACTCAATTTGTTTATCCGTGTCTTTTACGGTCACCTGGCAAGATGCCGGGATGGAATCAAGTCCTGACAATCATTTCGTGCTCTCGCACGCCTTTTTTTTATGCGGCACAAATTTGAACCGGGTCTCCCCTCAGCTCTTAGGTTCTGTGTCCGGTAGCTCTCGGCGGTGGTGGCGGTTAAGGTGACTCTGCGAATCTATCATGTTGACGGTTTCTCAGCGACTTGAGCGGAAGCGTGCCGCATACTCACTGGCACTGGCACGTGCAGCCACAGGTGTTTGTACGAGATGGCCAAACGTCTCTTTCACTGTGCTTGTGCTTCTCCCTTTCTCTCTCTCTCTCTCTCTCTCTCTCTCTCTCCTTACCCCGATCTTGTTGCCCTCAATCCGGAACGTGGTTGTCTTCCTCAAGAACCGCGGCTCTGACCTCCTGAAATAATATGCCCCCTCTGGGTTGATCTCCTTGCCCCGCCCTACTATTTTAGGTGCAAGCAATATCGGACGCGGTCAGCGATACAGAGGGGGCGCGGAAGGGGCTGTTGTGGCCGGTATTGATCCTGTCGCTCGTATTCACAGCGTTCTTCGTCGCCATCAGCGTTAGCACCTACCAGTGCGTCGCCTTCGGCCACAGGGACTGCGCCCCCGCGTCCTGCTGCATCAACCCGTGCACCATCTTCGTGGCCGTGGTCATCTGGATTTGCGCCGCGTTGGCGGTGTCGTTGAGCGGTAAGAGGACTAACGGAGGTCTTTGTTGGAGGGATCGAGTGAGGATCGACAGGGAGGGGAGGGAGGAGAGGAGAGCGCCGAGGGTTTTGTCGGAAGGAACAGGGCGGGGTTGGCAGAGAGAGGAGTAACGGAAGGATTTTGGGGGGAGGGACAGAGGGAGGGTTGAGAGGGAGAGGGAGGAAGAGGAGTAGCGGAAGGTGTTGGGGGATGGGACACAGGGAGGAAGAAAGAGGGAGACCGAGACGGAGACATAGAAAACCCCGGGGCCTCGAGATAGGGGGAGCGAGAGGAGATCTTACCTACCGCACAGTTTCCCGCTGTGCCCCCCCCCCCCTTCTCCTGCCCCTCGCTCTTGGCGTCTTGGCGCCCCGCGTGCCGCCTCGCCTTCTATTCTCCTCTTTCTCCCCCCTCAGTGCTTCTGTTCCCCCCCGCTTACAACCCCTCTCGGCATCGTCTACGGCACCATTCTTGGCGATTGTGGGTGTGTGGTGGTCTCTTCCCCCATTTTCGACTCCATTTTGGTGCCCTCTCTCTGTCTGACCGTTCCGACCGACGATCTATTCGCACACAAAGAAAGGGTCGCAGAGAAGGCTCCGCAAAGACTCGCGTGTTTTGATTGGTCAGCCGGCTCTCACGGACGACGACGTTTCTTGGACAAAAACACACGAAAAGTCTGCCTTGAGTGCCTTTTTTTTTCGTTTCTCTTCCGTTCCATACCATCTTCTCCAATCCCCCCCCCCCCCCCCACAGCCTTCTTCAGGTCCTCAAAGGCTTGTTGGCATCTTTCATCCCATTCCCATGCCTTATTCTTCTTAAGAAGATCAGTGAGTGGAGCAGCCCTTCCCGAATAACCCTTTATGAACCGCCGGTAGTAATTAACTAAACCAAGGAAAGATCTGAGTTGAGGTACCTTGGTTGGTGGATCCCATTCCTGGATGGCCTTCACCTTGCTATCATCCATCATCAACTTGCCATCTTTAATGCGATGGCCTAGGAAGCTCACTTTCCTCCTTAGCAAAA